GGGCTGGTGCGGAGGTGTTGGCAGCAGCGGCCGCAGTGAGTCCTGCCACCCTGCTCCACCCTCCTGTGCCAGGTCCCACCCGCTGGGCCACAAAGGCAGCTCCTGCCTGGTGGTGGTCCAGCCAAGCTATAGCCTCGTGCCCTGCTGTGGGCATACAAATCTGGGGGGGCATGTCCCCCCATACCACCCCAACTCATCACCTATGCTGTTGCCTATGGTTGGGCACCTCCTCTCCCCATACAACCCCCCTTCCCAATATACGGGGGCGGCTGTGGCCTGGGGGAGGGGGAAGTGGATTGCAAAGTGAGGGGCACCAGCCAGACTGAGGTGCTTGGGGGGTTTCCTGGAGTGAGGGGAATTGGCAGGGATGGGGGCTGTGGGTCAGGAGTGTGGGGCATCAGTGGGGATGAGCAACTGAGGTTTGAGAGTGAGGGGCACTGGTGGAGATAGGGAGGTGCGGGTCAGGAATGAGGGAGACTGGGCTAGTGGGCTGTGAGTCAGGAGTGAGGGAGACTGGTGAGGATGGGGGAGTGCAGGTGGGGGCTGTGTTTTGGTAGTGAGGGGTACTGACATGTCAGGGCTGCTCAGTAGCACAGAGCAGTCAGGGGAGGGGGGCGAGGGCAGCTGCACCTGGACCCACATCCTGGTGAGTGAAGGTGGCAGGGGAAGCTCTCATTTTCCGGGATTAATGACTGAAATCAAATGCTAAAATATAGCAGTATTTAGATTGTATTTTATTGTAATGACTGAGGCACTGGCTGGTTTCCAAATTGGTTTAAAATAGTAAATATCTCAATAAACCTTGTGTGCAGCTAACACCTCTATATACAGGGGAGTTTCATTTTAGTCATGGAAAAATGAGGATTTGGGTTTTTTAATCACAGAATCTGGGATTTTTAAGCACAGGACACCAGCATCCCTGCTCATCTGGATGAGGTTCCTGTTACCCCCAGAATGCAGTGACTTGCCCCGTGCCAAGAGCAACAAGCTTGTCTTCTCGGAGACGAGCGAGACCCTTCTGGTTTTCTGCCCTGATGGAAACGGGACATTCCCCAGGATCTGGGCAGGGAAAGCTGTCTGGGGCCCAGGAAACCCCCAGCTGTGGTCCCCCTCCCACACCGCAGGGACCTGCCCCCACCCAAGGGAAAGGCTGCACAGGGCTGAGTCCCCTGGGTCCTGCCTGTGGCGCGAGTGCCCTGCCCGCCCCCATTGGGCAAAGCTCTTTGCGGTGACTGGTTTCTAGGGAAGGGAGCTCTGATCTCAGTCACTGGGTGACAGTGTGACCCCAAAGTACCACCCGGCACCCACCGCCTGCCCCCCACCCCCCCGGGATCTGCACTCCCACCTCCTTCTGTGCCCACCATGTTATTTCTTTCCCTTCCCAGTTACACCTGCCCCTTCCTCTGCCCGCGCCCCATGGCGCAGCTCTGCCCCTGCCCTGGCGGCGTGGGTGGGGGCTGTGGGGGAGCAGCTGCAGCTCCTGGCCCTCGCCCCCCACAGCCCCACTGCACACAGGGAAGGTGCAAGACCCCGGGGACACAGCGCTGTGGCCAGTGACACGGCCCTGCGTGTAAGTGGTTCAAACGCCGCTGTGTGCATGGTGATGATGCTGCCATGCGCCCCGCAGGGTGAGGGGCTGTGGGCAATCACCCCAGGGCCTGGTCCTACCCCCACCCACTCCCCCACCGCCACTGCCACCGCCTCTGCCACTGCCACTGCCTCTGCACCCAGCAACGGCCCCAGACCCCAGGGACTCACCCAGACCCCAGGCCCAGACCTCAAGGGACTCACCGCTGCGGCTGATCACGTGGCCTCGCTCAAACACCCCGTAGTTGCGTCGGCAGTACCTGTCCACTGAGCCCCGTCTGTACTCCAGCTCCTGCTTCTGGCTGTTCCAGCACTTGGCGGTAGGCTCCCCCAGCTCCGTGTCAGCCATGAACACGCCCAGGTCGCTGTCGAAGTGAACGTAGTCCTGCTGGTTCCAGACGTACCTGTTCGCGTACCTCACGCGCTGGGTGCTGTTGGTGTAGAGACACTCGTGCTTGTCCTGGTACAGGAAATGCTCTGGGGCGGGGGAGGGACAGAGGAGGCGGGTCAGGGTCTGTGGGACCAACACAGGGCGCTGCCCCGCCATCTGCACACCCTCCTCCCCAACCCTCCCGGCAGCCTAGCTGCTCCCCCCCCTCCCGCCCCCCCGTGTCCCCCCCTCTCACCCCCA